GAACGCGGCTCAGCCAATCAGAATCAAGGACCGGAACTATCCGTTTTATAAAAGATAAATAGATCACAGGTTTATAAAATATTGTTAGAAATGTTTGTATTTTTTAAGGTCCTAAAAGCAAGAGATGAAAACTAAGAGGGAACACCTTTTATTATATAAAGTCTTATAACAAATTTGAAAACTCTTGCAAAACAAAAAAAATAATTAAATCCCTCTGTTTCTTCACCTCTTCTTGAAGCCATATTTTTTCTCTCATAGAAAAGGTCAGTCTTCGAGCTGCCAAGGTTCACGATCTTGGGGCAGCCATCCCTCTGTGTAACAATGAAACAGACAGTTCTTTAGAAACGTAATAAAAAACATGCATGTAAACACACAATAATTACACTTGATATTTTATTCATATGAGATTAAACAGCAATCCAAGGACAGAGGAAAAATCCCTGATACTGGGCAATATAGACTTAGCATCAGCCAGTCAAACAATACTTAAGCAGAGCCAAATTTTTTACTCATTTTACTCACGTCTTTCTCCTGGATGGTGCACTTTTTGCAGTAGTAGGCATCAGATACTCCAGGACCTCCACAAATGACACAGCGCCCTTGGTAAGACCCATAGTTGCATTCGTCACAAATACGAACTAGTGTACAAGGCCTGACGTAAGAGTCACAGATAACGCATCTACCATCACCTAAAAACAAAAGAAACAGATATGTTTTGACTTGTTAATGATGTAGGTGGCACAAGTCCTCTGAGCAAGGCTACTGACAAGGCAAAGCACTTGCTTCCTCTTTTGTAAGTCACTTTGGATAAAAGTGTCTGCTAAATGGATAAATGTAATGTAAATTAGTTAAAGAGCAGTAACATCCTGATCACACAGAACTGTGGCTTCTACCATTGTGACATATATTAATCACTTAACAGCCTTGGAGTTCTGTCTTAAAATTTTTATGTTACCATTAACAATCAATGTCTCTATATATGTAAAAAAATAAATATTATGCACATAAAAGAGTGATTAATTTTCCTTTAATCAAACATCTGTAAAGTGAACAGATATGAAAAATGATTTAATATTAGACAAGTAATAATTGTTTGAAATAAATGTTTTAACTGTAACATTGGTAAAGCATCAAAATAACATAATAAAATCCAAAACTTACATTTTTCACACTGTCTTCCAATGGCTGCAAAAAATAGGAAAGATGAAATAAGATTCAACACAATTTACACTTGATCAAACTGAATCAATGCCAAATACAGCTGTAAGCAGCAATTTTGGGGCTAAGCACTAAAGGCAAAACAAATATAACAAGTACAGTGTGTACAGTACATACAGCAACCTACAAGCACAAGAAATTACAAGGAATCAATAGACACCAAGATCAAGATTTTCTGACAAACATTTCAAAAGTTATATCCGTTATTTGGATCTCATGACCTGTAGATGGCATTGTTCCCAAATTTGGCTCAGATCATGGTGCTGATTAACTACCAAGTTTTGTTTAGATAAAGTACTGCTGAGATATAACTTCTAATCTAATTTTGGGTCAACATGGTTAAATTCACATGATCATAACTTGAACAAAAAGAAGTATAAAAATTCTGTAAAATTTTGGACAAAATTGTGCAAGATTTGCAGGAGTAGCAAATCTTTTGAAAATGATAAATGATAAATCATTCAAATCAGCATAATGATAGAATGTAATAACACAGAGAAAAAAAAATTCTGGACAATGTTTTCAAAGTGTTTTTGAAAAAAAAAAAAAAAAATTGTCAGGTACTTTCAGGACATGTTCTCAGTGAATCTCATTATCCAAATTTTGTGCTGATATGTCCAGTTGTTTAAAATATATTTTAAAGCTGGTAGTCCAATCCCATAAAAATCTTTATCCACAGATTCTGCATGAATCAATCAAGGAATCCGTAGACATAAATCTAAGTTCTGCCGATACACAGCCTCTTATCCAAAGTTTGCATCATCATAACTTTTGATGATCAATATCAAAATTATGTGCAGTCATTTCTGTGCTCTGTCCAGTGATCATCTGTTCCAATTTTGGTAATAACTGGACAATTTTTGAAGGAGGCATGCTGATTATTTAATGGGCGGAGTCTTAGATTTGGATTGTGATCACCATGAGGAAAGTAATTTGGTGAACTAGTGAACTTCTTTTATCTAGGAAAAAAAGTGTCCAAAAGTTATATCCAATTGAAAAGTGAGTTTTTGGATTTGTGGTGGCACTGTCATTGGTCAGATTACTAATCAGGACTACCTGTATCAGTGTACCAATTTTATTCATTTTCATGTATGGTTTATAGGGCTGCCATAGACTGCCAGTGGGGAGGAAGAATAATAAGAAAACCAATAGATACAATAGAAGCTACAGCACCTTCAGTGCTTGGCCCCCTATAGCAAAACAGCAGAAGGTAAAAAATAGATAATGACAACACTGCCTTCTAATTACAGAGGACACTGTAAACAAAAGACCAAACGTGTTTCCATCTGTTGCTATAAAACTTCACCAGGTTTTTCTCAGAGCAAATCTGTTTAAGCCGTTAACTGGTAACTAATGAGGACTATACATTTGTTTGTTAAACAAATGTATCAAATAGGTATTGAACTTAGATCTAGATTTAGAGTTTAATACATAATAGGTAGAAAGTCTTACCAACTCCAGCCTGTTTCCTGCAAAAAATCAAATTTGGGTGATGTTTTGCCATTATGAAAGAACGAATGCAGCCAGTTAGTGAGACACTGGGCAAATTCCAAACAAACATTCCAGTCATAAAGAAGTCATGCACGTCATAAAGAAGACTTTTGTAACATAATTGGCAAAGGGAGCAGTCAAAGGCAACGTAATTTTCACAGATGTTATTACATAGGCCTAAATACAACTATTAGCCTAGTAGAAACTCATTCATACTGTTTGCGATAAATGTACTTTTTGCAACATATAAAATGACATTTTCTATTTCATTTTGAATTGATTTTAAAATGGGTATGAAAAAAACCTTATAACAAAAAACTTTTAAAACCTTATGACAATTAACTTTTATTTTCAAAACCCACTTTTTTTTGCTGAAAAGCAAAACTATATTCTTTTAATTATTTTGGCAAAGTTTTATATTCACAAAACATGACAACATAAAACAATACATTTATAAAAAAGAATAGAAACTATAAAGCTTTTCAAGTTCATGTAACTAACCAAATGTTACATAGGCCCAGTACTTTGTATTTTCTTTACGTTTTTTTTTAATTATATATTTTTTTATTTTTACATATGTGCATTTTGTATTTAGTTGATATTCTTCTTTATTTCACGTATTTGTGACCCTGGACCACAAAACCAGTCGAACTTAATTTTAATTACTTAATTTTTGATTAGTAATATGCATTGCTAAGAACTTCATTTGGACAACTTTAAAGGCAATTTTCTCAATAGGCCTATTTTGATTTTTTTGCACCCTCAGATTCCACCCTTCAGATTTTCCAATAGCTGTATCTCGGCCAAATATGGTCCTATCCTAACAAACCATACATCAATGGAAAGCTTATTTAATCAGCTTTCAGATGATGCATAAATCTCAATTTTAAAAAATTGACCCTTATAACTGGTTTAATGGGCCTGGGTCTTCTTCTTCTTTTGTGGTGTTTATTGGCGGTTGGCAACCTAACTGACTGGTGCATTACCGCCACCGACTGGAATAAAGTATGGATCTGGATTTTGCTTGTAGGACAAAATAAACCATAAAAACCAATCAAAACAAATAAATAAACCAGAAATTAAAACAAAACAAAGGAATAAAATAAATTAAAAAAAACAATCAAAAAGACTATATTGTTTTATACGACTCGATTTAACCAAATTATGGTGACAAAAAGTACCAGTGACATGATACCGGCCTATAATCCCGTTTTGGTTTTGGGTTTTCTTCTTCTTTAGATTGGTTGCTGACAACCAATTTTAAAGGTGCGTTATCGCCACATACCAGACTGGAGTGTGGAGCAGTATATGACAAACAAGGGAACTAATTATATTCTTTCCATCAATCCTGTATTTTTTAGGTAAATCATGAGATGTTTGACCACATTCCAAGTACTTCCTTCTAAAAGCTTCTGAACATTAACATTTACAATGTCTTTCTTTAGCATTTGAAACATTTCCCTTCTTTCCTCCTCATATTTCCTACATTCCAATAACACATGTAGCACTGATTCCGTTACCTACCTTACAATTTTCACACAAACCTGTTGGATGTTTATATGGGCCTGGGTCTTCTTCTTGTACGATTTAATAGCGGTTGCCAAGCCAACTTATGGTGTATTACCGCCACCAACTGGACTGGATGGGCCTGGGTCACATTTTGAACAATGCTTTAGGTATGACCTCCGAACTTTCTTCTTCTGATGTTTTGGATTGAAGGCTGCGCAGCATTTTACTGCCACCTACTGGACGCAGTACAACATGACCATAAGTGACAAATGTGCCTTGTATTAACTGTTTGCGGTAGACGATAAAAATAAATAAATAAATAGATAAATAAAAATAAATAAATACCCCCCCCCAATGCAAGTATATTTGAGACCAAATGTGTTAACTACGATTAACAAATGCTTTAGAAGTATTTTGAATTTATGTTTAACGTTATATTTTTAATCATTTTAAATAGATGTATATTGTATAAAGATTATGTTGCCTGCTATTGTATTGCTTTTATGGTTATGTTAAACAAACAAGTTGGCACATAAATAGAAATTTAGAAATGTTCGTGTAATTTTAGACAAGGTCCTAAAAAGCAAGAGATGAACACCTGGACAATATATTACTAGAACTGACCACTAATGTTATTTTCCCTGTCTGTTGACATATTTTGTGTTAAAAAATACTGAGGAAAAAACTATGAACATCTTAAATTGCTGGTCTTTTAAAACTAGACACAATTAGATCCAAATATTTCAACATCCTTCCAAGACAATGAGTTAGTTTACCCGTACGTCATCTTTCAGCGTCACATCTTTGTCAGTGAACAAAATGGCAACCTACTGCTTAACCGTCGCCCGGCTTCAGGTACATCTAAACTTACATTTTATATTGCCAACACGCATTGTTTGCATTTGCTAATTCGTTAATTAAGGCCTTTCATAGCTGTGCTTGAGAGACTGAAGTGCACAGATTGAGTGAACTGATTGTTTTCGTGCTGAATCTGCACACGAAGTGTTCACAGGTCATTGTGGCCAAGGATATCATAGCAGACGCGTTTGCGCCGCTGCGTATAATCTTTATTTCCAGCTGTATAATACAGGACAGCCAAAGCACGAAACCAGAAATACTTAGAGCAGTTTTATCGATTCAGCTATTGTGGATTTTTCGTGTCTGGCTGTTTGGTTTTAGTCGCAAGGTGAACACAAGGTTAAAACAGCGCAGGCGATGTAACGTTAGATTAACAACACCGCTGCTTACACGACAACGCGGTATATAAAAAAAAATGTTAATGTTTTAGCTATATCGCGTTATTATATGTATTTCAGAATTATCGTATTAGCTTCACACCTGAGATTTGATCATATTGAGCAAAGTGAGCCGCTGTGATTTCACATTATGAATTACACTTGTAATCCATATTGATGTCTTTTTTATATATATGAGCTTATAAAACATATGTAGGCAGTACGAACAATTCAGGAGATAACCTTGATGCTGTCATGGTTTTATTATAAGGCATCACAGGAATGACAATTTCTTGGTCAGGATTGACTACATGCGTTTAATTGCTGTGTATATCAACTCAAATGTATTTAAAGAACTCTGATAATATACAGTGCTCTCACTGTCACATGGAAACTGAAAATATTAGGGAATTTTACAACTCATTTCCAGTCACCTGAAGACAACTCCCCAAAAGTCATAAACTGCTTTCTAGAAAATATAGATTATACTATTTATGCTGTGCTCAAAAGTATTTAATCCAATGTAATTTTCTCATTGAGAGAGCAAGGTCTATTTTAAGGTATTGGGACCCTGTTTATAATAGTTGTTTACTATGTGATTTCTCAGTTTGTGTTCCAAGTTCTTTGTGTAATGATTCCCTGTTTGTTTATTTCAGCTCGCTCTGGGTCAGGGAGCCCGACGCTTTCATGTGGCGGCAGCTCTCAACGCAAAGGCTAAGGTGGCCATGAGCCACTTTGAGCCAAACTCTTACATCAACTATGACAAGCTTCGCTCAAATATTGACATTGTGCGCAAAAGGTCAGATAGCATTACAGTATTTTACACTCGATGTTATTTGCTTCTGCCCTCCTTATCTAGGGGGACTCAGTTGCTATTTGTTTTATTCTTACAGACAAAATATACTCTTAACTTTTTTCTGGCGCTTGGTTAGTTTTTAAAAATGTAAGTCTTGTGTGTTTTTCCCAAGTGTTTACTTGTGAAATTGCATCCTCCAGACTCAACCGGCCACTCACTCTGTCAGAAAAGATTGTCTATGGCCATCTGGATGACCCGGCTGGACAGGAAATCGCTCGAGGACGCACATACTTGCGCCTGCGACCCGATCGAGTTGCTATGCAGGATGCAACAGCACAGATGGCCATGCTGCAGTTCATCAGCAGTGGACTCCCAAAAGTGGCAGTGCCGTCCACCATCCACTGTGACCATCTTATCGAGGCCCAGATCGGAGGAGCCCAGGATCTACAGACGGCAAAGGTGAACATAACACTCCAAAGAGAAAGGAAAACTTGAAATCGCATCATATGACCCCTTTAAAAAAACGACCTATCTAAAGTTAGGCAATTTAAAGTGTTTATAGGTTGTATCTTCTTTTCCAGGTCATCGGTGTGAAATTGACAGGCACATTAACTGGTTGGACCTCACCAAAGGATGTCATCCTTAAAGTGGCTGGTATTTTGACTGTGAAGGGTGGCACTGGTGCCATTGTGGAGTACCACGGCCCTGGTGTGGACTCTATCTCCTGCACAGGTGAAAACTGGCTTAAGCAATATTTAGAATGGTTTAAATGATAATGTCATCATATCATTCAATACATCATCATTCATATCAGCATCATGAAACCTAGGGATGCACCGATACTGGTATCAGTATCAGGCCCGATACTGCGCTCCTGTACTCGTACTCATACTCGTAAAAATGCAACGATACCAAAAGCCGATACCACACACCGTGTGAATAGAGCTGTGTCCAGAAAAAGAAACACCGACAACAGAGAGTAGAATGGAGTTATTAGAGATTAAGGATGTCTATGAAGTACATGTAAGTAATTAATATAATGTTAAACATTCAGTATCCATATATAGCGGATGTGCGCGAGCTGATAAGCAGAGCGTGCTGAGTGGATTGAGCGTGCGGAGGCACAGATGCGTGAGCTTGTCGAGTGAATATCTCACAGACATCACTGGAAAGTTTGTAGTTTGGTCGGATATGTCAAAAGCAAGTAAGTAAAACAATGCACAAGTTACTAAAGTTATTTGACGGTAAGGAGAGAGCGCGAGAGTGAGCGCGCACTTCTGTTACATGATATTGATTGCTGTTCGCACCATTAGCGAATGCATTTGGATTAAAACTAAATCGCAAATATATCCTAAAAATTATAGGGGCATTCACTATAAACAACATTTATTTTAAACGTCAAGCATACACAACTTTATTTAAAGCAAAAGTGAAACTAGCAGACTGCGTGAAATGCGCTAGGCTATAAGTGTCTCTCATTCTGTACAAACGTGTGCGCTGCGCATGATTAGCTTGCTTTAAAGGCCAAATATTTCGTTTTTTACTCGTACGTGGGGGTCCGAGTACAGTGCGCGTGACGCAAATTACATCACCAACATAGTATGTGCATACTCATATAATATATAACGAGTGGTTCCCTGCATTATTTTAGGAAAACGTCTTGTGATTACAGTATTGAGCTGCTGCAATGGAGCAGCTCTAATGCGCCATTAAAATGAACAGTGAAAGTAACAAAAGCTTTCACGATACATTTTAACAGGTATAATTAAGTGTGGAAATAACTGAAGGAAATATCTTTTTGCTAAATTAAGCCATCTAACATGATTCATGTTATTATTATTATTATTATTATTATTATTTTGTTTCTGTACCCAATATTTTTTAAAAATTACAAATGCTGTGAAAATACAGGTATCGATATCGGCGAGTACCAAAAATTAAAGTATCGGTATCGGTATCGGACTCGTTCTGAAGAAAGTGGTATCAGTGCTTCCCTAATAAAACCCATTGATGTAAACAAATTGTGATTAATTAAATAAGTTAGTTAAGTATCACACCTGTAGCTGCTACTACAATGACTATTTTGAGCTATTTTGCGATTGAACTTTCCTTCTTTATTTTGGTCAATGCTAGCAGTACTTGAACTACCAACTGTAGTAGACTAAAAGTCTACATCCATAATGAAAGGTCTAAATACATAATTACAGTGTACCAGGGCGTGCAATGATAAATTTAGCTTTAGTTATGGTATTCAAAGAAGGTCATAATGAATGAGAAGTTTTCAGACATTATTGTCCAGATGGAATTAGATTTCTCAGAGGATGGTAGTTAGCTGACAGTACATAATTTGCTTCGTAAGTTTTAGTGAGAAAAAACAGCCATGTTGAATACAGATGGGATTAAAAATCACTTCTAAATCTGTGAAACACTTGTGCAAAGTCCAGTTGAACTGTTTATAGTTATAGTGTGACTGTATATAGTGTATAGTTGACTTTCAAATTGCTGTTCTTTTAATGCTACACTGTTGTTAGGGATGTCAGTTTCAGTCAAAACACATTTCACCCAACAGGACTTGAAAAAGTTGACAGGTTTGGATATTTAATCTGCTTAATATCTCTTGGCATTGCCACTTCTCTCATCTCATGTGTCTTAGATAATGCAAACATAGCAATCGTCATTCACGTGAACAACTCACCTGCCTCCAATTTTGGGCTCTATTAACTGTCATCATGTGGAAAATCGAGGCTAAAATTTTGTGTGTGAGTGGCATGTGTTATGTCAATCATTGTAAAAACTGAAAATTCTTTTGGTTTTTCTAATCAGGAATGGCCACCATCTGTAATATGGGCGCTGAAATTGGAGCTACCACTTCTGTATTCCCTTTCAACCACCGTATGAAGACATACTTGGAGAAGACAGGTCGTGGAGGTAAGCGGCAGTGATAGACTCCCATCATTGGACAATTTTTAGCTCATGCTGAAAAACGTTTGGCCTCTCACTTCATTTATCCCTTACAGAAATCGCTGCTTTAGCAAATGAGAACCAAGATCTGCTGGTACCTGACTCGGGTTGTCATTACGACCAGATAATTGAAATTAATCTAAGTGAGGTAAGAGCAGGTCAATTAGGGTAAGCAAGCTGAATGTATCTTACAGTTACAATAAAGTGTTAATGATTAATACACTCCCTTACAGCTGAAGCCTCACATCAATGGCCCATTTACTCCTGACCTGGCTCACCCTGTTTCAGACATCGGCTCCGTTGCTGAGAAGAATGGCTGGCCCCTGGATGTTAAAGTTGGTCAGTAATTTAGCATCCACTTAATTTTAATGGTCATATATAGACTTTTTATGGTCATTATTCATTTAAACAGCTCCCTTTCATAAACACTCTCTCTCTACCTGAACATTACAGGTCTGATTGGAAGCTGCACCAACTCCAGTTATGAGGACATGGGCAGAGCTGCCTCCTTGGCCAAACAAGCACTTGACAAAGGACTCAAATGCAAAGCCCAGTTCACAGTCACCCCTGGGTCCGAGCAGATTCGTGCCACAATCGAGCGAGATGGCTATGTGAGTCTGAGTTGGAGAGCCCTGGAATTGTATTATTCAAGGTTCAGTGTTTAGGTCCAAATGTCTTGATTGTTCTGCATTGAATAATTGAATGTGTTTCTTTATCTGCAGGCTAAAGTGTTGAGGGATGTTGGTGGGGTTGTCCTGGCGAATGCCTGTGGACCCTGCATCGGTCAGTGGGACAGGTAAAGTATTTGTCATTGTAGATGGTTTTTGTAAGGTCTTAATTCAACATTGCAGATTTTCTTTAATGTTTTTGAAAAGTATTTTTAATGCTCGCCAAGGCTGCATTTATTTTATTAAAAAAAAAATACATTTGTATTTTTTAAAAATAAAAACAGTTATATTGTGAAATTATTACAATTTAAAATAACCCTTTATTCATGTGGTTGCAAAGCTGTATTTTCAGCATCATTACTCAAGTCTTCAGTATTACCCTGATCCTTCAGAAATCATTCTAATATGCTGATATGGTGCTTGAAAAACATTTCCTATTATGATCATTGATAGTGTGTTGATTATATTTCTGTGGGAACTGTAATGCTTTAATTTCTTTAAATATTAGAAAATTCAAAAGAACAGCATTTATTTAAAATTGAATTGAACATCTGTGCTGTCTCTTTTATCCATCAAGAATATGTTGAATTTATCAAAATTATACATTTTTCAAAATTTACTGACCCCAAAGTTTTTGTAATGTGTAAGGAAACGTACAGTCAGAATTGTATTGAAATGTACAACTGACATTTTTCCAGTCAATAAATGGTTAATTGGGTATGAAATTGATTTGTGTGAAGAGAAAAAGGGTGCAGAGTCATACAAGAGACATGAAACTAGCAGAATCATAGGCCTGGGACAACGGTCGTACAGTTTTATACAAAAATATTTGACCTCAATTCCATGATTGACCAATCAGGATCAAATTATTCAAAGAACTGTGTAATAAAGCCATATCATAAACCAATTAAATCTTTCTTGCAGACGTGACGTTAAGAAGGGAGAAAAGAACACCATTGTTACATCATTCAACAGAAACTTTACAGCCAGAAACGATGCTAACCCTGCCACTCATGCTTTTGTCACTTCCCCAGAGGTACTTTGACCTGTTTTTAAATGTGCCACACTCTGAATGTTTTTCCAAAACCCTTTCCTTTTTGCAATCTTGCAAATTGATTTTTCATATAAATTTTTGCCTTGTAGATCGTCACAGCCCTTGCCATCGCAGGCACACTGAAGTTCAACCCTGAGATTGACTTCCTCACAGCCCCCAACGGAGAGAAGTTTAAACTGGTGCCGCCCACAGGAGATGAGCTTCCTGCCCGTGACTTTGACCCAGGTCAGGACACCTACCAGCACCCACCAGCTGATGGGTTAGGCCTGAAAGTGGATGTCAACCCTCAGAGCAACCGACTGCAGCTGCTTGAGCCCTTCGACAAATGGAATGGAAACAACCTTGAGGACCTCCGAGTGCTCATCAAGGTAGGTTTTAGTCATAGATGTTTGAAATTTGGGATTTCAATATAACTCTGAATAATGTAACTCTATTTGTCAGGTGAAAGGAAAGTGCACCACCGACCACATCAGCGCTGCCGGACCTTGGCTGAAGTTCCGTGGCCACCTTGATAACATTTCCAATAACCTGCTCATTGGTGCCGTTAATATTGAGAATGATGCCGTCAATAAAATTCGCAACCTTCTGACTGGAGAGTTTGGTGGTGTTCCTGATGTTGCCCGCCATTACAAAGTAAGAGCTGTTTTAGCGCTCCTTCTATTCTTTGTTTTTGTGCACCATATCATAGGGCTGCATGATAAATCGCAATCACAATTAGGCAAAAGCTGCGATAGTCATGCGCATCTTGTCAATGAAGCACGGTTCTGTGATCAGTAGTGAATCTCTCGCGCTCTCGCGCGGAAACTCCAAATACCCCCGAAGAAGAAATCAGGAAATCCCTATAGCAGCAGCTGAATAAACAGAAGATTTAACTGCTTTCATTGATTCAACGTGACTAATAAACACACGACTACGACAATATATGGTTTATCTGAGTTCTTATAATAATTATTATAATTTTCATTATAATAAAGTATATAATAATGAAATACTAATCGACATAGCCTTTATCACTGCTTAGAATACTATGAAATATGTTGCATGCTTTATTCTATGTAAGAAACCACATCATCTCACAGAAGGATTTATTTCAAACACTCGACTGACGTTATGAAGTGAGTTTGGAGTTAAAACATGTTATTAAATGTGGTATTTTCACGTGCTGTCAAATGGAGCAGCATTTACTACACAGAGCCGTAGTTCACTGAGAAGCTCTGTGTAGAAAATGATGCTCCATCTGAAAGCATGGGATGGAGATTTACTACTGATTACAGAACCGGCTTTACTGACAAGATGCGCATAATAATCGCATTCGGTTAATCGTGCAGCTCTACCGTATCATGATTTGTTCTGCCTACTGTAAGCATTTATATTCTTAACGGTTTCTGAATGTCCTGTAATATCCCACTTGCAGAAGCACAATGTTTCATGGGTAGTTGTGGGAGATGAGAACTATGGTGAGGGTTCCAGCAGAGAGCACGCTGCTCTGGAGCCCAGACATTTAGGAGGGAGGGCCATTATTGTGAAGAGCTTTGCTAGAATCCATGGTGAGTGTGAAATATTCCTCCCCCTTGAAGCTAAGCGTCATTTAGCAATTGATTTGAATTCTTCTGTCTGGTCTGTCAACAGAAACTAACTTGAAGAAACAGGGCCTGCTGCCCCTCACCTTCTCCAACCCTGCTGATTACGACAAAATCTGCCCAGATGATAAAATCTCCATTGTAGGGCTTAAGAGCCTTGCCCCTGGAAAGGTAAGAATGATTCTGTTAATGGGGTGCGAAACATAATGCAGTGAAATACAATGAAGATTGAGAGATGTGCAAATAAATGTTTCTCAAAAGCCTGATTTCACAGCAAAAAATACTTTGATCTAAATGTGGATATTTTTCAAAATTATTCTAAAAGGCCTTTTACTTGCTAAAATAGTATAAACTATATATGCCCCCTGTTGTGTGATTGACCGTGTACTAGAGATTTTTCAAAGTTTTGATCATATTGATATTTTAGAGGCCTTAGAAATAAATTTTTCACATGTTCATGGTCACGAGTTTATGTTTGTTAATGGTCACATGACATGAAAGTAAACAAATTAAATTACTTTAAAAATTAAAGTAATAAAAGAACACTTACTTAAAGGGGTCCTATTATGCTCTTTTACAATGTCTTGAATTTGTTTTGGGGGTGTACTAGAACATGCTGTCATGCTTGGTGGTTCGAAAAACGCATTATTTTTTACGTTATTTACATTATTACAATACCTTTCTCCCCATTCTGGCACAAACGGCTCGATTAGTTCCGGGTTTGATGAAGGCTTGCCTTCCGAAAAACGAAATGTGATGTGATTGGTTAGCTGTCCCAGTGCGTTGTGATTGGCGAACAGCTTAGACGGTGTTTCA